CTTCGTAGTTTTATCAATAATTGTCAGGAAAGAAATATCATACACACACTTGGAATGCAAAGAGAGTAAAGATCAGAATAAGAGGGCACGAGAAAGAAGAAAGCAAGGGAACAAAAGTTGCGGCAACCGGCAGCCATGTTTTAGTCATTAACCAATAAGCAATCTACGAAAACCGGTTGCCGACGATATTCTAGAAACTTCTGGAACATGAATACTAGCAGCCAATCACAGCTCACAGCTCTGGAACATTCCGGAACATGAATACTAGCAGCCAATCGCAGCTCACAGCTCTGGAACATTCCGGAACATGAATACTGGCAGCCAATCACAGCTCACAGCTCTGGAACATTCCGGAACATGAATACTGGCAGCCAATCACAGCTCACAGCTCTCGAACATTCCGGAACATGAATACTAGCAGCCAATCACAGCTCGCTACAGTCAGTCATACGGGTAAAGTGGAGAAATACGGGTTTAGCCATACACGACTCATACACGACTTCTACATGACTCATACACGACTCATACACGACTCATACATGACTCATACATGACTCACAAGCGACTCACGGCAAGGGTAATAACATGCACATACAAAATACGCAAGGAGAGAAAAAATGTAACTAACTGCGCATCTTGGGGCTCGAACCTGGGGATCTATATACCTTCACGCTCCAAATTTCGAAGCTACGTTTGTAGAGATTGAGTTTCCGCTGAAGGGTACCGGAACAAAGACATTTGGATCCGGGAAGTCCCTGCTAATTGGATCCCTCTACCGCCCACCCTCGAACACGGCTGCCACCATTGATACATTTTGTAACTCTCTCCAACGTTGTCTGACTGTTGTCAAAGCTACAACATCTGCAGTAGTGTTGATGGGGGATTTCAACGCTAGGTGTTGAGACTGGGAGGGGGACATTACCGACACAGCAGGTCACCAATTGCGATGTTTGCTTAAGATGTTTTCTTTGGAGCAATTGGTAAACTTCCCCACTCACGAGTCTGCCTCGGGCCCTGGAGCGGCTCTGGATCTTGTAATAACGGATATTCCCCACGCCATTGACGACCTCCATGCTGAAGCACCTATGGGCCAATCTGACCACTGTATTGTTGTTGGTAAAATTAAAATGTCACAGTCCCCGCGGTCTCCTGTCTCTGAGCAGAAACAGCTTCCACATCGAAGTAACCTTGCTTCATTGAACATCTCATCCGTGCCGAATGAAACGGCAGTTGCGCTCAATGAGCGTCTATTCCATATTGACTGGGAGGCTGTGCTCCAACTACATCGGGGTGATCCATCCCTATCTGCAGATATGCTGTACGACACTTTGGAGGAGATACTGCAGTCCTATCTAGAGCGACGCAAATCGACAATCCGATGCACACCCTCGAAATCTGCCCGACCACCTTGGCTAACACCAGCATTTAGAGAACAAATCAAACGGAAGCGTGACTCGTACAGTGTGTACAGGAAGTATCAAACCCCTAAAAATCTAACTGTGTATAAGGCGGAACGGAATAAGACCCGTAACCTCTCGCGGCTGGAGCACCGCAGATTTCTCCGCACTCTCAATTCATTCTCCCAAAAGGCCCAAACACCATCACCAAATCTACACAATTGTATCCGAAGTTTGCGGTTGGACTCCACCGGAAAACCCACTGTATCACGCCTCGCCGTCCGGGAGCTGACATCAAATCACCTGACGACATTGCAAATGCCCTAAATAAGCAGTTCATTGCATTTGGTACTCCGGATAACCCTCAGTGGACGCTCCCGCCTTTGCAGGACGCTTCGACAGCGCCTCCGCTCACCTCTATCTTCACCACGTCCTATGCCGTGCATAAATGCGTCAAGCGTCTAAAGCTCCGGAAAGCTGCGGGACCTGATGAAGTTACACACGAGCTGCTGAAATGGATTGGCCTGTCAATATCGCTTCCTTTGAGTCTGCTATTCAATCTGTCTTTCTCCACCGGTATTTTTCCAACTGCGTGGAAAGCTGCTGTCGTCATCCCGCTGTACAAAAACAAAGGCGCAAGAACAGATCCGACGAACTATCGTCCCATATCCCTTCTCTCAATGATATCAAAGCTGTGTGAGCGAATAATGTATGACAAGTTATATGCACATGTAGATCCATATCTCCATCAATCACAGTCCGGATTCCGTCGAGGTGATTCAACAGCCTGGCAGCTACTTCGAGTTGTTCAATCCCTGCATGACAATCGCCATCGCAGCGAGTACAGCCTACTCTGCTTCTTTGATTTATCTAAAGCCTTTGATACTGTGTGGCACCGTGGGCTGATGGCTAAGATAGCATCATTCTCGATTCAAGGACGCATACTGCGGTGGCTGGAGAGTTACCTGTGTGGTCGCTCACAGCAAGTAAATATCTCGGGTCAATTGTCCCACCCTGAACGCGTGTGTTCTGGTGTCCCCCAGGGATCAATTCTGGGGGCCCTGCTTTTTCTAATGTATGTGAATGATATCGGTGCAATTCCCAACATCTCGCTATATGCGGACGACACCACTCTGCTGGCTAGTCACCGGCCGCTCCCTGTCGCGTGTCAAGACCTGCAGGTAGGAATAGACTGAGTGGTCAAGTGGATGCGAAGGTGGAAACTCCGGCCGAACTCCGCCAAGACCGAGATCATGTGTGTCGTCCCCAACGCGTCATCAGATGTTGCACATCTTCAAACTTCTATTTTCCATTTCCCCGATGATCCTACCCCGATACCTATAACCTCTCGTCACAAGCACCTTAGCGTTACACTTGATAGCAAATTGGACTGGTCCCACCATTTCCAGAATCTGGAAAAGCGGGCAAGCTCAGTCGTCGGTATTCTTTATGGCCATCTCCCCCACATTTCACCAGAATGCCGAAAGACCTTTTATCATACATACGTTTTGCCTATTTTCTTGTATTGCTGTGTCGTGTGGTGTGGCGCTGGTAATGGCCTCTTTGCAAAGCTGGCGATTGTGCATCGACGGATTCTCCGGGCAATACTTCGTTTGCCGCCCGAGACCACCATAGCCGTTCTCTATGAAAATTGCTGTACATTTCCTCTGAAACATTACATTGACCGATCCTCCTGCGTATACATTCACAAAATCAAACTTATCACTGCCCCTCAGCATGTGCAGCATTCCTTAAACTGGTTCAATGAATCCTCAACAAGCCGGAACTCGCTTCGTTTCCCGATTGCAAGAAACAATTCCATGAGCAAATCGCCTGTATTCCTAGCATACCAATTATGGGATTCTCTTCCTCAGCAATTAAAGTCCAGCAACACCCTCAATGCGTTTTTAAGCTTGATAAATATACACGTACGTCGATCTTCATTTACTAATCATTGATTTTCATTCTCTTTGTGTATTACTTCAAGCTCCAAAGTAAATCACATATGCTACCTGTACAATTCATTTGGGTTTTGGATTGATTTTTATAAATGATTTTGGTTTTGGATTGATTTACTTTTATTTCATTTTCATTTTCATTTAACTTGCCATATTTTGCGTGTGCATTGTTGCCTTCTTGTTCTTTTATTCCATGGCTGGTAGCCCTCATTCATAATATTGGTTGACACCATGTCATCCTTGAATTGAGAATAATAATAAAATTATAATAATAATAACTGTTTTCTTGTTACAATCATCAGTGAATCTACGTAACAATGGAATGGGAACTACTTTAAACTAATCTTATATGGACAAATAAAAGTGAAAGAAGGTGAAAAGAGCGAAACAGAAAGGTGATAATACTACATCTATTCAGTGGGTGGGGGGGGGGGGCAAGCTCAGCAGGTAAGAACAATGCATATGTGAATCATCAGCATCAGCAAAACAAAGAGAGGACCTGAACAGACGGAAGGAAGTGTGAACGGAGGGGGGGGGGGGGTGGGGCAATCATACTCACAACACTCGCACCATACACTACGTAAACAATTTGAGGGTGATAACACTTTCCTTCTGTACACACAACACTGGCTTGTACAAGTGAATGAAGATTGCCTCTAAAACTCTAAGCTGCATAATATGAGTATGACTCGCACGACACAACACAGTGAAAGAAGAATCCGAGTACGAATGACAACAATCAGGATGACCCACCAAATGCCTGTAAACTGCCGATTTCTTCACATCCAACTCCAGGTCACAATCACACCCGACCTCACCAGCCCCATCGCCATCCGCTTCATCCTCGGTATCAACTTCTCCAACTGACTCATCTGAACGCTCCTCCTCTTCTCCCCCATCCACCGACCTCCGTCTTAGCACCTGGTCACCTCCTCCCTGCTCCTCCGACTCATCATCATGCTCCGCATCCTCCTCTTCGTTCGTTGACCTCCGTGCTCGCTTCCGGTTACCTACTCCAACCGGCCCCGTAGCCCGCGCGCCACCACAACTGAAGAAAACCGTGTAGTCCACAGCTGTACGACGCGGTCGTAAACACATGGAGCTGGTAGCCACTGCCTCCCGAGGTTTTCTGTGACAAGCCGGCCGTTGGTATCAGTCACTATCAGATCATTGCATGTTACCTGTGTATCTGCCACATCCACCATGGATGGTTCCACGCCAGGTGCTCTAATAGTTGACGGTTCTGATCGCAACACGAGTGTAGGAGACACCACTGGCAAAGGAACGTTCCTCGGCCTGTCACACCCACTGTGCTGAGGAGCTG